AAAATATCCTTGGGTGAGGATTTAAAAAACAAACAAACAAAAATAAATAAAAAGTTATAAAACAGATGCAGAGAAAGAAGATTTGACACACAGAAAAGAGGAAGCAATGTGACGGAGGAGGCAGATATTGGAGCTGCCAGCTCGGAAGAGGAAGAAAATGGATTATCCCCTTGGGCCTCCAGAGGGAGCATGGCCTTGACAACACCTTGATTTCAGACCAGTGAAAGTAATTTCAGACTTCTGGTCTTCTGAACAGTGAGAGAATAAATGTCTGTTGTTTTAAGTTACCAAGCTTGTAGTAATTTGTAAAAGCAGTAATTGGAAATCAATACAACATAAAAAAAAAATAACTCAAGAATGAATTTAACAAAAGAAGTACAAAATTTACTCTCTGAAAACTATAAAATACTAGAAGTCCAGTGCATGAATTCGTGCACAGGTGGGGTCCAGATGGCCCGGCCCCAATGGGGGCGGATCGTGGCCAGGCCTGTTGGGAGGAGGAGATAGTGGGAAGTTGGCCAGCTGGCCCGCCCCGATCAGGCCAATCAGGGCTGGGCTGGCTGGTGAGAGGCCATGGGCAATTGGCTGGCAGGCCCTGCCCCCAATTGGGGTGGGGGGCCTATTGGGGGCCAGCAGCCTGGGGGAGGGGCCATCAGTGGTTGGCTGGCTGGCCCTGCCTCTGATCAGGGTGGGGGACTGATCTGGGGTGGGGCCAGGTGGGGGAAGGGGCTACAGGAGGTTGGCTGGCTGGCCCCGCTCCCTATTGGGGTAGGGGGTAGCAATCAGGGGCAAAGTTAGCCAGGAGGAGGGGCTGCGGGTTGACCTGGGTAGTGGGGGCCCATCAGGGGTGGGGCTGGCCAGGAGGAGGGGCTGCAGGGGGTTGGCCAGCAGCCCCACCCACTGATCGGGGTGGGAGAGGCTGATCAGGAGTGGGGCGGCTGGGGGGAGGGGTCGCAGGAGGTTGGCCGGTGGCCCCACCCCCTGATCAGACCGGTTCACTGACCGCAGTGGGCATCATAGCTACCGGTCATTCTAGTCATTATGGCGTTCCAGTCACTGGCTTTTTATATATAGACTAGAGGCCCAGTGCACAAATAAATGCACTAGTGGGGTCCCTTGGCCTGGCTGGTGATCGGGGCCGATAAGGGCAAGCAGGCCCAGGGGAGGGGCCCCAGGAAGTTGGCCAGCTGCCCTGCCCTGATCAGGGCCATCAG